GCTTTGCTACGTGTGGGGACGAATGAGGCCCCGTGTCAGACCTACACAATACATGCAAGACCCAATCGTTTATTTTCCTAAAACCAAGGCAAATAACTCTAGGATGTGAGCCAGTAAGCAGCAAAAGTACAACGGGATCATTTATTAGAAGGGAAACCACATGTCTAACATCAGACCTTTCAAATCAATTGCACCCGACGTGAGATTTGCCTGATTTAAATGTGTATATACATGCGCACTACCAATTAGAAAGATGAAGATACTTCGTTTCTGTCTCTAAATATAAATACACCAATATAAAGAGGAGGGAGAAATGAAAACAAAAAGGAGAAACAAGGAAACGTATCATGGCACTGGGGGAAACGTACAACGTACACATTTTGGTTCTCCAATGCTTGTTTACATTGAACGATGGGGCTGAAACCCTTAACTTCTGACTACGGACTGCCGACTGCCGCAGGGCTGGAGCCCAGGAATGTGCAAACAAAGGGAGAATCCATGTGGCTACTTACCATAGAAAATCTCCATCCTGCTTTTCAAAAGAACGCAGGAAGGAAAAGCCCCACTGAGCGAGGGCAGTGCCAGGGCCGATGCGGTGCCAGCATGTATCACAGCAGCCGTCCCCATGACACTCACAATGTTTGGGAGGCAACAGGACAGGAGGGCAAATGTGCAGTGGGTGGAGAAATGGTTTAACAGGCAAGAAGCAGATTCAGCCATTTGGGATGCTTTCCTGGGCTTTTGTTTATCTACCTCTGTAATAGTTCTCATTAGCTGTCAATTTCATTTACCAGGACAGAGATGGAGAAAAATGATTGTTCTTTTTTTCACAAACCCTGGGAGGCAACAGTAGGAAGAAGCCCCACGACAGTTTGGCTTTACCCCACCGCGGCTATCGGCTACACACCAGCTGCACGTTTTAACAATGACTTGCCAGAGACAATGATTGAAAGAGTCAATCTGTGACACACGGAGAGAGGCAGGAGCAATCTAGAGCAGGAGGTAATGGAAGAGAAGCGAGGTCAGAAGAAACAAGTTAGTGCTGGCAACGAGAGGAGGGAACAGGGAGAAAGAAAGCACAGTATTACAGAAAAAAAGGGGGGGGGGGGCGGAAAGTCCAACCACACATTCCCAAAGCAGCAGTCGGGAGTCTCCTGCCCTGGGTGGGACACCAGGCCATCGCCACCTGATATCCGTACTTCACCAGGACAGACTCAGAAGCAAATGGCGTTAGACCGTACATCGGGCTTAGGATCTAATGGATGGATTCACAAAACTTCAACATGAGGACTAGGGATGGGAACAGGAGAAGGTGAGACTACTAAATGGGCCTAATGATTCTCTAAGGGAAGGTGTCTTTGCATTTGGTTAAATAAAAAAGGAACAATCAACTTTATGACCATCTCGAAAACGTGGTTTTATTACCTATGACCAAGTTCACACAAATCCATTGAAAAAAGAAAAAAAACAAGAGCATATAGGCTAGGTGAAGGGAAAGAGAAGACCAAAATTTTTTTCAAACAAAAGCCTTCATGATTTTTAACAAATCCCCTTCAGATAACAACATACAAGGTTTGTGATGAACATCTATCAAAAACCGATGTTTGAACGTCCCTGGGCTTAGCTTTGGGAACAGAGGAGGAGAAACAGGTAGTATCTGGACGCAAGACATGGAGGATGACCACCAAGAGGTCCAGGGCAAGATAGATGTGTGGCTCCTCTGTATGAATTAAAAAAGGGTGCCCCTTCCCAAGGAGAGCAGCCTGAATTTCACTCTCATTTACCCCTCCGGCCCATGTCCTTGTCCATGAGCAACCTGCTTGACTGCACCTGGCCGCTAAGAGGGTGTACTGACCAGTTAGTTGATGCTGTCTCAATACATGCAAAAGTATGAGAAATAACCCTGGATTTTAAACTACCTCTAGTGTTAAATTTTATGTGAGACTGACTGCCCATCACATTACACAACAATCAATTTGCCTAGGATCTAAATGAAGCAAGGGTATGGATTCTTGTTTTCCCCTTGTCTTCTGGTCTCCTCTTGGCCTTCTCAGACCCAATCCCCAAGAAGATCAACCACTAACTTATCATTTTTTTTTTTTTTCCAGTTAGAAGAAACATGGATTCAACTTCGTGAAAATACATTATGCTTTCATGGCTCGCTTGAAGGCAGTCCTACTGAGTGACCTCAGTAAACCCAGCAAGTCATCACTGGAAACTTGACATGCGTGTCTTCTGAACTGAACAAGAACACCGCTGGATTAAGAATCAGAAGACTCGCTGCCCAAACCAACTGTGCTGGTCTGGGCGGTAATCACGGGGGCAAGCCTCCAGGTCTCAGGTAATAATAACCGTACGCAACAAGAGTTCACATGCACTGAGTGCTGACCCTGTACCTGCCTCATGTGCATTAACACATTTGAACTTTACAGGAACCCTAAGAGATACAGTTATTATCTTTACAAATGCAGAAACTGAGGCTGAGAGGCTTAGAGGCCTGTCCAAGGTTACACAACCAGGAAGCGCCAGTAAAATGAGGAGGTGATGTCAGATGATTATAAAAGTCCATCCCGCTGAAATGTAATCTGTGATTCCAGCCAGGAGAACAGGGAACAGGTGTCAAAACTGCCGACCAGATTTCCCAGGAGGTTATTCCTCTTACAGTAACATGAACATGAAAGAGACATTCCATTTGCCGTGCTGTATACAATTCCACGACTCTGTACCCCATTGCCCTCAGCAAACGTGGTTACGGATCTACTGGAAGAGCCTTCCTCCCCCCAGATGGAACCTCTGCTGTGGCATCTCTTCCCTGAACCAGGCGATGCAGAGGAGCGGCCTGGAAGTGTGCGGTGAAATGAAAATGGAAGCCCCGAGCAGTTCGCATTTTGGACCCAAGTTTAAAAACGAACTGGATGCTTTAAACAACATTTCCAAGAAACCTGAGAGCTTTCTACTAAAAACTTCCTTTCCCAGGAAGCAGGCGGAGAGAATCCTATCCAGGCCCCCGCCTGGTGTGACTTGTTGAGATGGGGCTAATGGGTCATCAGAAGCGTCATCCGCTGACCAACTTAACCCTGCGCATGAGTGAACGAAGCAGCAGACGCTGAAGCCAGTGCCCCTGCTGAGCTACCTCCTCCACAATCTGCGCTATCATGTGTCCCAAGCGAGCTCGTTTCTTGGGGGATGTGTTCTACACCACATCAAAATCCAAACAGTGAGGAGGAAGCCTCAGAATCCCCATCGGAATGATAAAACGTAGGTACGCAAATCATCAGATTGTGAATTACCTGCGTCAGGAATTTTAAATGAAAAACTACAATATCTTTATATCTCAGAAAAGTCTTCACCGAAGTTATTAAGAAAAGTCCTTTTGATCCAATTTAGAAAGCAGCGCGTTCTTGCTCGACAAATACAGTATTTTACGTGTGACTTTCCAATGTTGAGGCAAGCGATGCTTCAAAGACCATCTCATAACCAAGAATTGCCTAAGGAATTCTGAAACATAGAGTATTCGTAGCTTTAAAAATGTTAAAAGCAGATAAATCCAGGTTTTACTATAATCTCTGTGAGGACAGAGATTCTTTTTGAAAGAAAGGTTAACATCAAAATGCCTTCATCAAAATGTGCGAAATTATAGCTGTTTTCTAAAATACGGATGAATCTTAGAAACAGAATATTTAGTTAAATAAGTAAATTCTAGGAGACCATTTACAGTACAGTACAAATGGGGTAACCACATTTCCTGTTGTGCCAAGAACCTTCCTAGTTTATGCCTATTGTCTTTTAATTATTAATAGCAACCCTTCCTGCCCCCAAAGTGTCTCAGCTCGGCTGAAAAATGATACAGTCATTCTAAGTATGTTTCTATAAATACATTTCTATAAATCTCAAAACTAAACAAAACTAATGATATATACTCTATGAATTTTTGCAATAAAATTCTTCAAAAAACCCCAAAAGGAACCATTAAAAAATATTCAGAGAGTATTTGGGGCAGGGGAGAGGAAGAAGCCTGAAGAGAAGGGAGGAACACACAGGTAGACACACAACATTGGTGATACTCCAATTCTTAAACTGGATGGTGGGTTCATGAGTATTCTTTGATAGTTATGTCTCACGATTAGCATGTTCTATACATTTATATGTATGTTTATATATAAAACATTCCATCATGAGCTTTTTTTAAATATAAAAGAAATAAAATGGTAAGAAGGGATAAAACTACCATCCATGCTTTCAAGAGAACAGAGTAAACTATTAGAAAATTTATCAGCAATTTAATATAGTTCTAATAGGTTCGTAAGAGGCACTTTCTAGCAGCCACCTAGATTGTGCTCGCAAAAGTTACAAGGGAAAAAAATTACATTTAGTTTGCTGATACAAGAAATGGGTGATGCTGACATAAGAAAGGTGGACGTGACAGACAAATAAGCCTACGTACACAATAAAGCAGCAGAAGATACAGAAGCAGTAAGACCACTGAAATACGAATGCAAGAGTTAACTGGAACATGAACTCCTCGTATCAAAATCAGAAGGTCCGTTTCTTTCAGTAACAAGGACCCGAATGTGTGCGGGCCAAGTAAAACACAGGTGAGTGTAAACACGAAACATGGGCTACACAATATCCGTCCTGGCATAAATTAAACAGAACCATACAAACTAAGGCCAATCCTTGCACACAGTCTCACCTTGGTGGCACTTACCAACAGAGCACCTTAGTGAACAGAAGCACTACAAAATTCGCTAAGAATAAATAATTTTCTAGCATGAGGTGAATGGCCAAGCCAAAAATATTAAAGTAATTGGTGATTTTATTGAGTGTTTATATTCATTAGTTGAGTATCTTTAGGAACTGGAACTCTCAAATGCTTTGGTGACAATTCACATCACCAGGTTTTTCAACAGTAAGAAAGCAGTGGCGTGCATGTTGCTCTCGATGAACACTAGGTCTGTCTTGACTACAGAGTAAAATAGTAGTTACTGAGAAATGAATACCTGGAATACTTGCAGGAGAAATCGGGCCAGATCGCGACTGGTTGCTGCCCACAGGAGAGCCGACAGGAGAAGGCGATGGGCCCCCAGGGATGCTAGAGAGATGGGGGGATGCGTGCGGAGAGAAAGGTGACTGAGCTGGGTTGCTCTGATCCCCTTGGCTGCTCGTGGACCCAGACGCACTGACTGCTGAGCTCAGAGTTGCCTCCGTTCCCGTGGGGAGGTCATCGATGGAGCCAGACAGGTCCTGAGAAAGAAAGAAAGAAACACCATATATTTATGGAGTAACACACTCGGACCCATACCTGACCAAAAAATGATTTAAAAATCCTAACAGTGTCCCTTTCAGAGACAGTTTTTCTTAGATAATTCCCAAAATTCAGAGTGTGGCCACTTGTTATTAGAAGACTTCCAGGAGCTCTCTCGTGAGTTGAACCCTAAGATCTGTTCCAGCCCCCAAAAGTAAATACAGTTGTACCTCTCTTTCATAAAGCCATCTGACAGCTTTCCTTCAAGCTGCCAGCGCCTAGTCCAACACACACGTTCAAGGAGTCACAGGAAACAGCACTTGAGGTGGTGACTTACCATCTGAATGGAATGCTGGCTTCAGCACTGAAAACTACTGTTCCGGATCCTTCTATTTAGAGTCAACACTGAAGGACTGTCTGAATTTCAAACTATAATACTCTAATGGAAGAGCAATTATTTATTTATTTATTCGAGAGAGTGCACATATGCGTGTGTATGTGAGCAGGGGGAGGGGCAGAAGGAGAGAGGGAATCTTAAGCAGACTCTGCACCGAGCATGCAGCCCAATGTGGGACCCACGACCCTGAGACAAAATCAGGAGTTGGGTGCTCAACCGACTGAGGCACCCAGGCGCCCCACAGAACAGCAAAATTTTAACCAAACCTTGTGGTGAGAAATTCTTGCATTCTAAGTAACTGTAAGTGCCATTATAATAAAATAGTAATATGTGTGTTTCTGAATGATAATGTGAATATAAACCCCTTTGAGGTTATGTTGGCAGAAATGAGTCCTAATGTTATACCTTATTTTTTTATAACAGTTTTAAGCTAAAGAAACAATTTTTAGTGCCAACTAATTTGTTCCTAACACCCTCTAAGGCAGTTGTTAAAATCACCGTTTGACAGATACAGAAACTGAAGCTCAGCTAGTCAGTTATGGTCGAAGGTGACCCCACTGAGGACAGAACCATCTGCTAAAGGGGACGAAGGGAGGCTGAGGGAAAGAGGAGAAAAACAGGCTTCTGCACCCTCGTCAGACTGAAAGGAGGAGAGACTTTAGTCTGGCCTTCCTCACCGCCGTGGCACCAGGGCCCAGAATGGCGCTCAGTCCCACTGTACAGACCCGCAGTCCCGCTCACCCAGCAGGTGCTCAGTCGGCCAGGGCCGGCCTGTGATCCCAGGTCACAAGAGTCTGCAGACCGAGGCAGGGCACAGAGCTGGTGCGACTGGGCTCTCAGGGCTGCGGTGTGGTATACAATTACGTGTCTTGATGATCTAGGACTAAATGCTACAGAACGGGATCAGAAATGCTGGATGATGCTACAGTCTACAAAGCATATTCAATTCTAATTTATACCCTCGACTCATTCAACTTTATTAATTTTACCTCACTGCTTACTACAGGGACGTCTAAAACTAGGGCTTGGAAAACTGGTGGAGGTGGATGCTTAGGATCTGAAGAATGAATCTAGACCAGCAAATACAAAAGGGAGCAGGTAAAGCACAGCTGATTATAGCTCTTCAGGGTCCCCCCAAATGTCAAAAAGCAAACTCAGGATGAGGATCCCAGTCTCCTGGAAAGTTTATCTGTTAACCATCTGCTATATCATATAATTAACTTCTCTTTTTTTTAATAGCAAAATTGCCAATGATTAAAAAATACCTTCTAAATAGCTATGAAAGCCTCATAAAAATGAATGTTACGGAAAAACAAAAATTTCTTATGCTAAGAAGAATAACATCTAAGTAGAGAGTACTCTTCAACGTCATATAACCATGCTTATGAATAACAAACATAATAGTCACAGCGTAGATTGAACACATCACCACTTGAGAAAGTATCATTAAATTTCCAAAATGAAATGGGGCAAACGGAATCGTATTTTCAGAATCCAGAGGAAAAAAGTAAACATTTCTACCCAGGGCACACAAGTTGCATGATTTTGCACATATTCAGCTGCGAAAACACTGTATTTGACTTGACTACTGGGTTCAACAACAGTTCGATTCAGACTCTTTGAACTGAACACAGCTTTTGCGAAGCAGGGTCAGAAACACAGGAAGGTTATTAAGCAAGTGACATGCTACATACAATGGAGAAAATACTCACACTTCAGAAATCAAGGCAAGTATCTGATTTTCTAGAAACAACACTGAAGCCAGCAGAGTGTACATGTGCATACACACTGACTTGCTGAAAGAGAAAACAGGGCAAGTTCCATCGGTCCCTCCCTCCCTCCCTCCCCAGGCCAACGGCTGACTCCTCACGTGCACAGCCTCAGAGTGAGGATGGGTGCCGGGGTGGGGAAGAGTGGTTGGAGTCCTGGATGGTTCTTTAAGTCCCTCCCTTCCTAACTTGATGTAACCAATTCACAGAAGAGCGGAGGGACCCCCAGAGGGGCTCTTCAAAGCATTGCAGCCTCTGGCTGGGGGCTCAAACTGGACCCTGCCTATTTTTGCTTTGCCACCAGCTGAATGTTTTTAAACGACTGAAAAAAAAAAAAATCAAGAGCAATGCTTTGTGATCTATGAAAAATACTTGCAATTCAAATTTCAGTGTCTGTAAGGTTTTACTGGAACACTGTCCCCGCCATTCCTTTATGTGTGGCCCATGGCTGCTACAGAGACCCCGTGGCCCGCAAAGCCTAAAATATTTACCATGGGGCCCTTTCAGGAAAAGTGTGCCAACCCCCGATTCAGAGAGCGGCGGGATTCCTGGTATAGCCTCTACGGCCGCTGCCTCTCCCTTGGGGTAAAGAGAGAGAGACAGGCCCCAGCTGAAGTTCGTGGTGACACACTGCCCGGCAGGACCTGTCGGCGCTTCTCCAAGAACAGGCGCTGGCCGCACGGCTGCATCCACCGGGGAAACACTGAATGGGAGCCAGAGAGAGAGCCATGCTCTCTCTGCAGGTATCTGAATCACCCAGGGAGGCCCCCAGTGAGGATGGCTGGTGGGCTCCAGGTGTAGACGCACTCCCTTAATACCTCACGAATGTGTATCACTAATAAACAAAGGGTCAATCAGACAAAATCAGTTGGGGCGGGGAGGGGCGGGGAGAATAGGATTTGATGCTTCTTTGGAGAAAAAGAAAACGGTAGATAACTAGATATAAAACCATTCTCTTTTATTATACTACATATGGGATTAAACATAGAAAAGACTTGACATAGATTTGATTTTTAAAAACATCATTATTTGAAGTTAAATAATCTTATGCAAATCTTTCTTCATAAAAAAAAAACAAACCCCAAATTGTTACTTGGAAATTTGTAAAATTCTCCACACGACCTATAAATTCCTTCCCTGTCCTCCCTTAAAATTCCAAGTTATGGCTGAACAAGTGACATGGATGGGTGTTAAGAAGGCTTCAGTCAAGCTGCAAAAGCATGAAAAACATTTCTGTTATTCAACAAGCTGATCGAGGAAATACCAAGAGAAAAATATAAAAACGGTGACTTTCTCAGTGCTCACATGTCATCAGAATTTCAGGGCTGACTAGACCTCAGTGTAACAGAAGAGTAATAAAAAGATATAATTTCTATATTACTATTATACATACACGTAACTTTTATATGTAAATTATAGAGAAATATTCCCACCCTGCAGACGCTTAGGGTATCCATATGTATAGCTATCTTAAAACATGCTAATAAAAGAAGTTCAACAGTGGTTTAAACATTCAGCCTAGTTAACAAAGAAGCTCTGTAACTAATACTCCTCTGGAGGACAATTTAGTCAGCAGGGCACCAACTCTATTCTTCCTTTTAAGTACTATCAGATCTATGATGTCTGGAAAGAACAGAGAGACCTTACTGCATCTCATTCTAACCAAGGCACCTTCAAGCTACAGTGCTTCCATTTATCTTGCTGGGAAGCTGGCAGGTAAGGTAATGGCAGGGAGGACTCTTTGAAGGGGCCGGAGTCCCCCTGCCCCACCGCATTTCCGGCATCTTTCCTTTGTATGGAGGGGAGTGACGGGTGAGGTAATGACTTCATGGGCTCCTACAGAGTAAATTCAGGATTTTGCCAGGACAGCCTTAGTTGGTAAAATCTTACTCTCGAGTTGGGTTTTCAGTATCTGACATCACTCAGGATATTGACTACTTTCCAGCACACCAAAAATAATATAACTTCTACTGTCGATGGTTAATTTATTTTTTAGAAAATCAATGCCTTAAAAAAGAAAAGCTTGTTTTGCTTTAAAATTTAATTTAAGTGAAAGTTCCCTGCAAAGACTTTCCCTCTGTAAACCATCATCTCTGCACCCTCTGTCCATGTAAAATTTTCATTCTAATCCAAGTGACAAGTACAAGAGATTTCACTGCACTTGGAATAAATGCCACCAGGGAGCAATAACAATCCTATCAAGACTCTGACAAGAGAAACACTTATGAATTAACACAGAGCACAAATATGTTCCTGATTCAATACAGTGGGACAGGGTGGGGAAGGGCGGTGACAGGGCAGTGATGGATATGGGAACATGCCATGAAGGAGGAGCACAGGAAGAATTTTTAGAGATCTACATAAATGCAAAACAGACCTACAACATTATAAATATTCTCTCTCAGGTCTACATATTATCTATGATCCTTCCTAAAAATACTGTTAGTATATTATGACTTACTACATCAAGAGTCATCTTTGGCTTTGATGGAATTCAATTTATCTAGGAAGGTAGTAGCTGACTCAAGGATAAATTCCATCAATCCTGGTGATGTCTTACTGTCTCAAAGACCTGGGAATAAGTCAGAAAATCTTACTCCCTTGTTTAATTAAATAAGCGGGTTTTTAAAAAAGCCAATCAACTCCAAAATCCTCTAAGCTGTGGTCCTCAATACAATTAGTTGATAGCATCAGATCAGCATCTGATAGAGAACTGGAGAGGAGCGCACACATTTGGGCATCTCTTGCTCAGAAGTGCCCCAAGAGAGCACGAGGATAAACACTGAATTAGAAACAGAGAAGATATTTCAATCAATGAGACTAGTTCAGGTCT